GTACCGCAAAAAAAACCAACAGAAATTTATTCTCTTACAGTTGTGGAGGCCAGAAGTCTGAAATCAAGGTGTTGGCAGCGCTGGTTCCATCTGGAGGCTCTGAAGGAGAATCCCTCCATGCCTTTCTCCTAGCCTCTGGTGGCTGCCAGCAAGCCTCCGTGTGCCTTGCTTGGGGCCACATGCCTAATCTCTGCCTCTGTCCTCACATAGCCTTCCCCTTGGTGTTTCTGTGTTTCAGATCTCTCCTCTCTCTTATAAAGACATCACGCATTGGGTTTAGGGTCCACCTAAATCCAGAACTGATTTCATCCTGCCTTCTTAACTGCCAAGACCTTCCTACCAAATGAGGCCACATTCACAAGTCTGCAGGTATGGGGGTTAGGACTTGGACATATCTTTTTTGGGAGATGCAATTCACGACTCAACGCACTATAACTGGTATGCTTTTTGGGGGGTTACGTTTATCAACATGAGCAGCTTTATGTAAAAGATTCTCCTAAGTGTAAACTTTCCTCCAAATTCTCTTCTAACCTTTATCACTAACAACCCTCACCTTGGTCAGCTCTTCATAGCTTGTAAAGCATCTGGTGCCTTAATTAACTATTTTATCTACCCTGGGAGTTCTGCAAGGTCAGCCATTTTCCAGATATGGAAATAGGTGCAGGAGGGGAGGGAATGTGAGGACACCCAATCCTGGCTGAAGCGGCATTTGAACCCAGGATGTCAAGGCTCTTTCTTCACTGCTGCTGCTGCGCTGGAGCTTTGGTAGCTGTAATCAGTTTTTGCCGATTCATTTGTAATTTACTTGTGCCCTAAATTTTATTTAATGTGCTCTTTTCCATTGTCAGTAATTTTTTTCAGCTTTATTGAGATATTTCCCTTGTCATTTTAATTGATTATCTATAGCGTCTATATACGTCATGTTAATTGATTGATTCATTCATTAATTCAACCAACATTTACAGAAGCCTTACCCTGTGAGAAGCTTCAGGCTGAACTGAGCTCTTTGCCACAGAGATGAATGGGACCACCTTGGTCCTTGTCCTTGAGGGCAGTAAATTGACAGTGACCATCCAGTGTGAGCTGGCTGTGGGAGCTGAGTGGGCTTCTAACCTAACTGGGGGGTCAGAAGAGGCTTCCTGATGTCTGAATTAGGTCTTAAAGGATAGGCAGAATGCAATGTTATTCCTTTACTATTGGCTATTAGAATTAAATATTAGGATGGGCATTTGACATTCATCTACTGAATGTCAGGAGTGTGCTATTAGTTTTCTAGCACTCTTCCAAGCTGGCATAACAGGTTTATATATCAGCCTTCATCACAAATGGCAGAAACATCCATTTGCCCAATGTTGGGTCATTTACAAAACATTTTCACACTCCTGGTCTCATTTGCTGTCACAAAAAGCTCTTTGAGAATGCTTTGTTTATATCCATATATTCCTCTTGCTTTGTATCCTAGTCAAACTCAAAAATTTTAATTTTCCAACAAGATGAAGTGCAGGGACTTCCCAGGCGGTCCAGGGGTTAAGACTGTACTCCCAATGCAAGGGGCACAGATTTGATCCCTAGTTGGGGAACTAAGATCCCAAATGCCATGTGGCTCAGCCAGAAAACAAACAACAGGATGAAGTGCAAAAGTTTTAAAACTAAATCAGATAATTTTGGAAATTATAATCATTCAAATTGCACTGAGAATTAAACCAGGGCCTGGTTTCTGTTCCTAACATGGCCAATATCTCCTTCTCTGGGTCTTAATTTCCTCTGCTATAAAATGGCCATGTGAAGGAAATTTAGGCTGTAGGATTAAATGAGATAATGGATCTTAGACCCCAGCACAGCCCCTGGCTCATTAAAGATTGGTTCTCCTGACATGGTCTCTAACATCCATTTTCCTGCAATTCTGAGGCATTCTTAAAGTAATACTCCAGCCCACACTTGTGTGCCAAGGCTCCTTCCTAAAGAGGTGCTTTGAGAGAGAGAGCTCAAAGCTGGCTCATTAACATAGCTGGGACAAAACCATTTCACAGTTTGAGTCAATCAGATAGTAACAGGCAAAGGATAATGTTTTGACACTGTCATTTTGTCCCTGAGTTTGTTTTTGTTGGGTTGCAGAAAAAAAATTGGACGGGTAGAAATAACACAAAATAAAACTGACAATGGCTAAAACTACACGTGGTAAAAATTTCTTATGGATGGAAAAGCAAACTGAATGATCCCATCTTTGTTGGTAACATTGAACATTGCAAAGTTGACCCCTGGGAAAATTCCACTTGGTAGAAATAATCAACACAAAATAAAACTGCCAATGGCTCAAATTGCTTCCAAGAAAAGGTGGACTTTGTGGAAATAATGACTAGAAATTTCATGACAGCTGAAGCAATAATCAGTAAAAATCGATAAAGATAAAAGATAACAGATGAATCAAATCTTATAAAACTGATAGAGAAAAGGATATATCTTATGAAATTTCAATTTAGAAAAAAGTCTAGGAAAGTCAGAAATTGTTTAACTGTGCTATATAGAAAATTTATCAAGAAATTAAATTGGCTTAATAGAGCAAATTCCTTAAATACTTTAATAAATTCACTAATAATAATATAATTCTGAGTAAAAAGTTTACATGCCAAGGATTAGATGCAGGGATTTGGAGAGAGAGTTCTCAAATTAGATGACGGGTTGGATTGTAAGTGGCAATTTACAGTCTTCAAAGCACTTTCATACCCACTGTTTTATTGGACTCTCCTAATAACGTTATGAGGTGACACGCCAGGAATCATCCTTTCATTTTACAGACGTAAACATGAGGTTCAGAAAAAAAAAAAATTAAGGAACTTACTAAAGGTCACCCAGCATGCTCACGGCAAGGTCTAATTTAGGATCTGATTACCAGATTCCTAGTCTGGTAAGCTTCCTCATACCTACCCCCGTAGCTCAGATATGCTTTCCTCGCTGGACAGATCCGTCCCTTTTAATTTTGATTGCCCATCTCCCACTGTCTGCCAGTTGGAGAAGGGGAGAAGAGGAGAAGGAATGAAGTGGGTTTAGAAGATGGGATGGTCAGTGCAACACTCAGAGAGGGGAAGGGACTTAGCCCACACTTCATAGGCACATTTCTTATTATTCTCAGAGAAGGGAGTAGAGGATATAGGAATTTTGGGGGGGAGGGGACCTGGAATTTTAAGGCTGGGAGAATAGGATGAAAAATGAGGTAGTTTGAAAGACAGTGCCTGACGTATTTGGGGAAAATGAGTCATAAGGCATAGGAGTGTAATTAGATTTAGGTGGGGTGAGGCTGCTGAAGAGATTGCAGCAGGACTATGGACTAAATTAACCTTTGATTCAGGCAACCTGGGCTTTCTCTGATAGGCCTGTGCTTCTCCAGCGGGCTGGCTAGTGGAGCTCGAATGTTCTGGTGTTTTCTTGCAGAACGGTGAGGAATAATTACACAAAATCTAAAATACTGTAATTGAATACTGGATTTATGTTAAGTCACAGATCATCTGATACTATATTCCATATTCTAGAAGAGCTGGACACAGAAGGAAACAATTTTTTTTTTTTTTCACGTGCCATGTGGGATTTTAGTTCCCCCACCAGGGATGGAACCCGTGCCTTGTGCAGTGGAAGTGCGGCGTCTTAACTACTGGACCTCCAGGGAAGTCCCAGAAGGAAACAATTTTTAAGTGTAAGACTTATTTCTTCAGTCTATAGACAATGCTTTGTTTAAATATTGCTTTGTAGACCCTTTACAATAACTTTATTTCTCCTTCTTCATTCCTCTTCCCCACAGTGATCTCTGGCTCACAGATTAGAAACCATCGCTAGAAGAATTCAGACACAAGGAAAATCAGTATGCCTAAAATATATGTTCTAGGGAAGGTAGGACTTTGGCTTTAGTTTCAAGAATGAGTAGGAGAAAAGGAGGAAATGGGTGTGGAAAGACCAGAAGAAGGAAAAATTTGAGAAGAGACAATGAAAATTGAGAAAATCCTCCCTACTAACTTAATATTCTTTTGTGAATTGTAAGTGACCACCATTATTTGTTTTACTTATTTATATTTATTTATTTATTTATTTATTTATTTGCGGTACGCGGGCGTCTCACCGTCGCAGCCCCTCCCGCTGCGGAGCACAGGCTCCGGACGCGCAGGCTCAGCGGCCATGGCTCACGGGCCCAGCCGCTCCGCGGCATGTGAGATCTTCCCGGACAAGGGCACGAACCTGTGTCCCCTGCATCGGCAGGCGGACTCGCAACCACTGCGCCACCAGGGAAGCTCTACTTATTTATTTTTAAAATATTTGGCTGCACTGGGTCTTAGCTGTGGCACGTGGGATCTTTGTTGCTGAGCGCAGGACTTTTAGTTGCAGCATGCAGGATCTTTTAGTTTCACCATGCGGGCTCTAGTTCCCTGACCAGGGATTGAACCCAGGCCCCCTGCATTGGGAGCTTGGAGTCTTGGCCACTGGACCACCCGGGAAGTCCCCACCATTATTTGTTTTAATTAGTGGAAATGTTGAGCCCCCAGAAAAACCAGACAGACCTCGTTTTGGAGCACCACTGAGGGCAATAGAAAGCCATGAAAAGCTTTTAGGTAGCAAAGACAGGTTGTTGTTGGATTTGAAAATTATATTTTTTGAAAATAGTTTTATAGCTTAAAAAGTTATGTGCTCTTTTTAAACAATTCAGGCAATATGAAAATGAAAATTACTTGAAATCTGACACTCTTTACTCCAAGATAATCACAGATGTTATTTTGGGGAACCTCTTTCCTGAAATCTTTCTATGCTTATAGAACATTGTCTCAAGCTTCATATAAATTAGATCATTCTAAACTTGCTATTCTCTTATCAATTTTTTTCTCTCGAGAATAAATTGTGAATAGCTTTTGATGTCAAGAAAAAGATCCATATCATTATTTTAAACAGCTGCTTAATAATGCATTGTTTGTATATATAATTTAACCAGCTCCTGTTGAAGGACATTTACGTTTACCTCACTGTAATCAACAATCTCAGATAACAACCTTGTCCATTCATCTTTTCCAAATTGTTTGATTATCTTTCTAAGGTAAATTCTTAAAAGTAGCGGAGCTGGGTCAAGAAGTACGCTCTTTTTATATTTGGGTTCAAGCTGCCAAATCGTCTACAGTTTTGCAGGGAGAGCAGAAGGAGGCTGCTGCATTAGCTCTGGTGCGAGACAGTGGCAACGGGTATTGCGAAGAAAGTACAGACTTCCAAGTGATCTAGCCAATGTAGGCCTGTTCTCGGTGGGTTGACATATTTCCTTCGTTTTTTCCTCTCTTTCACTTCTTTTTCTTAACATGGAGGAAGAACTGAGAACTGCATCTCCCAGCATTTCGCAAGGATCACACTCCCTGGGAACTGTAGTACCGGGTCTGAGAAGGGTCCGGAAGGAGGGCGAGAGTCTGTGGGCATACTGGGAAATGTAGTCCAGCGGGAGGTGGTGGTGGGGCTCCGTGTGGGGAGGTGTGCGCGCGCGTAAAGAAGGCGGAGACGCCGCTAAAAGCGTCCCTTGGGGGATGGGGCCGCTGTGGTGCCTAACTTGCCTCCTTTGTGGTCTTTGAGTCTACAAAAGCCACCCGCGGATGGTTGGCTTTATTCCACTGTCCGAGACCAAGGAGGGACTAGTCCCTCCGCATCGGGCGCGCGCCGGGAGGCGCCGGCTGCGCGCGGACCGGAGTGGGGCATGCCGGGAGTTGTGGTCCCGGCGGGCTGAGGCTGTGGGACGTGTCGCGGCGCTGCGCTGGCTCCTCCTTCCCAGCCCTTCTCAGCGGTCCCCCGCCCCTTCCCTCAGCCTCCTCCTCCCTAGCCCGCAGCCCAGCGTCCCCTCCCCCCACCCGTCGGGCTCCTCGGCGGCTACTGCAGAGGATTCAGAGCCGAGTCGCTGAGAAGGAGGAGGCTCCCAGTCCCTGCGCGCCATCCGCCACCTTACTGGACACGGGCGAGGGAGCGAGAGCGTCGCCTCTGTAGCCTTCAGAGAAGACAAGGGCATCGCCGCTTCAGCTGCCGCCGCCGCCGTTTTCGCCTGCAGCAGCTCGCCGGTGAGGAGATCACCCCCCCACCCTACCCCGGTCCGGTCTCCCTGAGCCTGGGCCGGTGGTACTGGGGAGAATGAGAGTGGGGACTGCGGAGCCCCTTCGCGGGTTGGGGGAAGGGGGTTGAGGTCGCGATGGAACGGCGGGCTGGCTGGGGAGACTTGTCCAGGCGCGGGCTGGGGGTGGGGTGAGGGTGGGACACAAGCAGGTTGGGGGGGGGGAGAGACAAGGGAAGGGGACTTTTAATGGGAACGATCTGGGACAGGAGCGTGGGGTTGTAGGGTTGGGGTGGAATTTGGATGGTTTTGGGCGAAATGGATGTTGAGACTGGAGTGGGATGGCTTTTAATGGGGGAGGGGACTGACTGAGGGTGGTGGATTTGGGGTTGGCCTGGAGCAATTGACAGCTTGGGATCTGGGCCGGGTTGCGGGGTAAGGGGTTGATTGTAATAGAGAGTGCGACTGCAGAGTTGGATAGGACCCTGGGGGGTGACTAATTCAGGAGGGTGGAATTTGGGGTGGACCTAGGGCAGGCTGATAGAGGTGGTAGGAGCCGGGGGTGAGGAGGGGCTTGGCATGGGCTGAGACCTGAGCTTGAAGTGGGCGCTTGCCATCTGGGGGTGGTGGAATTTGTTGAGATTTTATGGAATAGCGTGGGTTAGGAGAGCAGAGGAGGTAGAATTCGGGGTTTTCCTGGGGAGTGCTTATGGAGGTTGGAATAGGAGCTGGTGGGGGGTGGGACTTTGAATGAGGGGAGTTGTGAGGGTGAGCTGGCAGGAGGGGGTAAAGTAGAAGTTAGGCCCAAAATGGGCGAACAAGGATTGGAATTGGGCGGGGAGGGGAAGGGGGGGAGCACAGTGGGATGGGATTTAGAGTGATCTTAGAACCACTGGTGGCTTCCTGGGTACAGGGTGAAGGCAGAGGGCACAGAAGATGCTTCTGGGCTGGACTTACTGAAAGAATAGTGGCAGGTGGTGAGCAAGGTTGGGGGATGGTATCTTGAAGAAAATGTCCCTTGGCCAAGGTGGCAGAGGGAGTTTTGCAGCAAGAATGTCTGAGATGAACTGGTAGGACTGGAGAGGTGGTTGCTGATAGTGAGGTAGCAGATGTGGCTAATTAAGGAGTGGGAAACCTGGGGTTGTTGGTATGGAGGGGGCAGGGAGGATGGAGAGGGGCAGTGAGCAGTGCTGGGAAGAGGTGGATTGGATGATTCTGGAGAAGGATTGAGATGGCCTCCAAGAGACACAAGAGGGTTGGGGGTTGGACTTAAATGGACAGCTTTGGAGGCTGTGGTTGGGGAGAGAGAAGGTACATAAAAGACTTTTCTAGAGGACTTCTTAAGCTGTTAGTTTTTGTTTGTTTCACTTGTATTAGTATCATATTTGGAAGTAAACCAACACGAAGGGTAAAGTTGAGAGGGGCTTCAGTTAAGGTAGAATTGCGGAGGGGAAAGTATCTTCTTTTTTTTTTTTTGAGGAGGGAAAAGTATCTTCTATTATTCATGTATTATAAAAAGAAAGTTGGGGGAGAAAACCCCACTCCAGTAACTAAAGATGAAGAAGATGAAACTGGAATGTGATAGATGTCTTTCTATTTGACGTCTCTGCCTTCTTTCCTCTCTCCTCCAGGTGCATTTAAAAATTAGTCCTGGAATTTGGTATTAAATAGATTTGATGAGCTTGAGGTGGTTAAGGGAGCATTCCTTGCTTGAGAACTGATGAATGAGACTGAAAAATACAAGGCTGAATTTATTTCCCAGTCAGGCAACGTGCATGTATTCAGAAAGAGCTTAGGCCTTTTTTTTCGCCTCCTCTTAAAATTGATTGCTTGAAGACTCCATTTATTGGTGTCCTGGTTTGCAAGGCAATTAGGCCCATCATTGTATTGCAGGCTAATAATCCAGAGATGAATCTTGGTACCACCGTTTTACGTAAACAGAGAGAAGACAGAAAATATGGAAATGTCATAAATATTCATTGGTGAGATAGTTTGGTATTTTCATTTGATTCTCTTTTGACATTACCTGATAAGATTTAAAATAATTGGACTATATTTCTGTAGATTGAATTTTCTTCTAAAGGAATTCAGGTGGTTAGAATTCTGTCAGGTGTGGATAAAAACATAAAGAATCATTTTTATTTTATTTTATTTAGGAGATGTAAGCGTATTCCATTAACTACAAAAACAATACTTCCATCTATTCATCAGAAATTTTATTTAAAGCTTAATGATATGCTCATTCTCATGGCAGAAGAGTGATGCTGGAAAGTAGAGAAGGGTGTTAATGGAGGAAACATCTTTAGGAAAATAGTTTTCTGGACTTAATTGCATTAACTGTGATATGTTAAACCTGAAATGGCTGTTGATTAGAGCTTAGATTGGGGAAAAATGGGGAGGGATGTAAGGCACCAATGGGATCAAAATAATTCTTTTTTTGTTCAAGCTTCAGGGTTCAGCTTGTAAACAAACCATTTTCCTTGGCCTTCACAATTGAACACATGAAAATACCCAATATTAAGAATCTTTTTTTTTTTTTTTTTCGGTACGCGGGCCTCTCACTGTTGTGGCCTCTCCCGTTACGGAGCACAGGCTCTGGACACGCAAGCCCAGCGGCCATGGCTCACGGGCCCAGCCGCTCCGCGGCATGTGGGATCTTCCCGGACCGGGGCACGAACCCGTGTTCCCCGCATCGGCAGGCGGACTCTCAACCACTGCGCCACCAGGGAAGCCCCAAGAATCTTTTTTTTTTTATTGTAGCTCCAAAATGGGCAGAATGATAGAAGGTTGGACTTATCCTTGGAATTGAAAGTGTTTTGTTATGAGGAAGCTTTCTGTATTGCAATAAAAATCAGGTTTGAGCAGTTACCCATAATTTGATGAGAGAGTAATCTAACTAATGCAAGCATTTCTCCTCATAACTTTACTCTGGGGTCCAGACGTTGCTTTTGTGGATCTGCAGGCTTGATCTAGAGGTGGGATATTTATATGAAAGCCCTAGCTTTTGAGAGCTCAAAATGGAAAGTAATCGCTTGGGAGAATTGTCTTGGTGGATTTTCTTTTTCCCCCTCACAGCTGTGTTCACCTGTGCAGTAGAAATGTATATAAAGTGTTTTAGTAACTTCACCTCATTTGATTCTTCCAGTATTCTGGTGAGAAGGGGAGAGCAGTGGAGGTATTGGTAGACAGGTACCTTGGTAGAATGAATAGCTTGTTAATTTAGAGGTTGAGAGTCCTGAGTTCAAATCCCCTTTCTACCACTTGATAACCTAGTGATTTTAGTAGTCATTAAAAACCTTTCATACTTAGTGGTAATGGTTGCATAACATTGTGAATGTGCTTACTTCCACTAAATTGTACAATTAAATACAGTTAAAATTGTTAAAAAGTGAACAAAAAACAGTTGTCAAGGAGCTTTCAGTGTCATGGGAGAGATAGATGATTTAAATGTCGTGAGAAAAGTGAGGCAAAACTAACGTAGTGGTCAAGAGTGTGGGTTCTGAAGTTTGTCCACCATTTACTACTACCTATGTGACCTTGGGCACAGTGGTCTCATCTGTAAAATGGGCATAAGAGAACTAATCTCATAGGGTTGTTTTGAGGATTAAACAAAAGAATCCATGGTAAGCATTTAATACAATGTGTTACATTGTACACATTAAAAATATTAGATGTTATTATTATTAGATAGAAGAGACTAGAATGTGAATAGCCTTGTGTGTCCTACCGTTGAGTTCTTAGTATTATGATCTATTATTTAGTAAGGAGGTATTACTTTGTATTATTATCTCACAGTTTGTCTCCATATTAGTATGTTGGCACTATAGTCTAGGAACTTAAAAAAAAAAAAATTTTATTTATTTGGTTCCGCCAGGTCTTTGTTGCAGCTCGCAACTAAGCCCATGAGCCTTTATTGAGGCATGCGAACTCTTAGTTGTGGCATGCATGTGGGATCTAGTTCCCTGACCAGGGATCAACCCAGGCCCCCTGCATTGGGAACGCAGAGTCTTAACCACTGTGCCACCAGGGAAGTCCCTAGTCTAGGAACTTTAAACAGTAAAGTACTAAACATATATTAGTTGTTAGTTTCCTCATCTATAAAATAAGAAGAAAAACTGCTGAGAGGTAAAATGACTTGCTTAAGATTACACAGTGAGTGGAAGGGTTTGGGTTACAGCCCTGAAATTCTGATTCTTCAACCCTGTTTATATCTTCTTTTTAAATTGTGAGATAAACCGTATGTATAAAAGTGCATATAATATAAATCTTTAATTTAAAGAATGATAGCAAATTGAAGGCCTATGTTTTTGCTACCCAGTTTAACAAAAAGGAGATTTTTAGTACCTTTAAAGCTTCTTGTGATTCCCTGCCTGATTGAATCTCTGTCCTTCTCCCTCAGAAGTAACCACTTTCCTGAATTTTGTGTGAATCATTCCCTTGCTTTTAAAAATAGTTTTACCAAACAAGTATGTATCCTAAACAATATATTTTGTACCTTTATAACTTTATATAAATAGAATCATAGTGTTAAGTATTTTTCTGTGACTTGCTTTTTTCTTATTTATTATCCTTATTTTTAATTTTAAAAGAGCTTTATTTCTTCCACCATTAATTAAAATAACATGCTCATAGCAGAAATTGAAAATTACAGAAAAAGTAAAAGAAGCAATATTATTGTCTATAGGCCATTACTCAGCGACACTTATTTGTATGTATATTATATATACACATATAAAAATATATTCTTTAGGATATGTCTGTAAGTATGCGTGTACATACATATATGGGTAGTCTAGATGGCAAGAGGAAGCCAGTTTGCATTTATGGATGATCAGATTATCCAGATGTGGATCAATCATACTTGGAAATAGGAATGGGAGAGGGTAGTAGCAGCCTTTGTGAGCTGTGAAAGAACAGCATCTTAAGAATTTTTTCTTATTGGCGGATTTTTTATTTACTAGATACTGATTCTTTTAATACCAGCTTAGAGCTTCATGTCATGTTTTGGCA